AACTGGCTCTGAAGTAGTGCCTGTGGAAGGGCTGGGCATTGGAGGAGAGCTTGTCCTAAGCAGAAGGCATCCAATGAGTCCAAACGGGCGCGGCTAGTAACTACGAACAAGACATCCCAAAAAGACGAACTTCCGGTAGTGAGGATAACGGCGTGTGACCAACCAAAGGTCAAGGAGGTGCCGAAAAGAATCAAGCCGGTAGGCGACAGAAATAGTCTTTCGGCTATGGTCGATTCTGGGGATGAGATTTCGGTCGTAAGGGAATCATTGGTGGCGGAAACGAAGGGGGAAATCCAACAGGTTGGATCCTTCGGTCACCGGATTGATTCGGTAACGATCCCGATAGGGCTGTGGGAGGAAGACCTCACAGAATCGTATGAGCCGGCGATGGTGACTTGTGTCGTAAACAGACAAATTACACCAACCCACGGATGCTCTAGTATCAGAAGGGGATCACCGGATGTTATTAGACCGAAAGGAGAAACTCCAGGAGAAGGGAGAAAGACATTTAAAGGACTCAAAGGTAGATGGCAACGGAAACCATCAGAAAAGGGAGCCGGAACCTCTCTCAGAGGCGGAGCGTAGTGAAATTAGCGACGAAAAAGGGGAAGGAACGGAATTACGAGACGCCCAAGTCCGGGACGAGTCACTTTCTCGATTGTGGGAGGCCGCTAAGTGTAAGAAAGATGGGTTAACTGTAGAGGACGGGATACTATATCGGCGAGATAGTTCGTTCGGCAGGCCCATTAATCAGGTAGTTGTTCCCCAAGAACGGAGAACGGAAGTGTTAGATTTAGCACACAAAGCTCCGTGCGGTGGACAGTTTGGCAGTCAGAAATTAGCAAGTCGCGTTCGCGAGGGCTTACATTGGCCGGGAATGGCGACCGACATCTGGAAGTACTGCCAGGATAGTCGTAGGTGCTTAGTAAAAGCGCCTGATCTAGTCCTAGATAGGACCCCAGCTACACCACTTACTCGATTCTCAATCCCTTTTCAAGTGCTTAACATAGGCGTGATTGTACCGATTGATCCCTGGTCATCTAACAGTCATCGATACGCAGTTAGCATAATCGCATTATGCACCCGCTGGTCAGAAGTGGAACGGATGAGATCGCTGTCAGCGATGGTCACTTGTTCGGTATTGATGCGATTCTTTACGCGGACGGGTTGTCCCAAACTGATGTGGTACTATCAGGGGACCTATTTCACCGCAGGATTGACGCGTGAAATGACCCGTAGGTTAGAAGTAGGGAATGTAGAGATGGATCGGATCAAAGCGGTCCACGATATTACAACTAAGCATACGGACGTAAAACGAGAAGAGAATGAAGTGCCTTACAACATGGAAGCACGGAAAAAGGGATATAACATCGAGGATACGGTTCTCGTAGAAAAGTCTTCCCCGGGTGACAAATTGGATGTCCAGTGGGAATGGCCGGATGTGGCAGAAAAGCGAATATTCGCTTTACGAATAGTACTTGGTTTCGATGGGAGATTCGGGGAACTGGATCAAGCTCCGTCCCCGCGACAGCTGTACGATCGCGGACGATGGGACGGGAGAGTAAGGAGAGTTCCTCCGCTTCCCCCCGACGTCGGCACATACGGAGCGGGATGACGGGTCGGAGGATTACAACTCGATTTTCGGTAATAGACCGAAAAAGAAAAACATCTGGACACTTACTGGAGGGTGGATCCCGAAACGGTTTACCCCATACCGGATTGCGTTGGCTTTACGAAAGCGGTTATTAGGCATAGGTAGCAAAGGCATCTCTGCGCGTAGACGGGTAAAATTCCCGGATGTTCCGGATGTATGGGTCAGTCCGATATCGGACGATTTTTGTAAGATTGTCCGGTGTTGGAAGGAATCAAACAGGCTTGAGTAAGCTCAGTTTGATCCTCGGCCGTGGAGGTGTCAGGATGGAAAAATCGTCTGGCACTCAGTTTTCCCGCCTTTTTATGAACGACCGTTGTCGCCATAGAAACGGCGATCAGACCGTTTTGAAAACTCGACTGCTCATTGGTTAAAAGACATCAGACCATCGGCGGACGTCTTATAGAGCTGGTAAATGCTGATTGGTGGAATCCAATGCTGTTTCAATCCTATAAAAGCATGGAAGTTCTGGCGGGAAGTTCAGTTTTGCTTCGGACATTAGGAAGCGAACTCACGCTGACCTTAGCTCGCCTAAGCTGTTTTAGAAGATTGCCTCATCTTGTTGTATTGTTGTGGACTTTGAATTTGTACGTCGCAAGGTGCTTTTCCGACGGACCTGTTGCAGTGGATGATTACCTTGAACTTTGTTAATATCTAATGTTTGTAATTCTTATATGTGAACTTTAATTGTAACTGTACATACGTTTATTTTCAATATA